ATTAAATTGTCTGGAGGTTGAACCTATAAAATTTTTAATTTTTTCATTATTATTACTTTTTACAGCCCTTAAAAGAGCCAAAAAAGGGCAAAAAAAAGAAATTTTTTTTCCGAAGTCCGCCATTTTATCAATTTTTAATTTTTTTGCAATTATCTAGGTTCAACCTCCAGCAAATGTCATCTAGTTTAAGAGGAACTTTGCATTTTTAGTTTCGGGCAAAAACTGAAGGCGCTAGCTTGCCGCCCGTTGAGGTACCTTTTTTTAACACGACCTCCATCAAACGCTACTAGGCGATAAATAATTCGATATTTTGGTCTGAAAAAATTTGTAAATATAGTTGAATACATACTTTATAAGTACGAAAAAAATTTGACTGCATTATTCACTTCCTTCCACGAAAACAAAAATCACGAAAAACATGTCATTTTTGATGCGCTAGATGAGAGCCTCCCCTTAAATGTGACATTTGTCGGAAATCATTTGAACTAAAACATAGCCTCATTCGACACATAAATGCAGTACATAATCAGAATAAACCCTTCGAGTGTGAGATGTGTCACAGATCATTTGCACAGAAAGGTCATCTCAATGTTCACATAAGTACAGTACATAATCGCAGCAAATCCTTTGAATATGAGATTTGTCACAAATCATTTGCAGAAAAGGGTACTCTCAAAAACACATAATAACAGTACATAATCGTAGCAAACTGTCGGAGTGTGAGATTTGATACAAATAATTTAGATGTCGGAATCTTCTCAAAATGCACATGAATGCAATACATGATCGTAAGAAACCATAAAATGATTTGTTCAGAGATATTTGAACATTATGAAAGTTTCTACACAAGCATGAGTGTTCTAAGGAATTTTGGAAAATCTTTTACATGGATATTCTTGAAGTTTGTGAATAATAATAAAATATTAAAAACTGCTTTTCATTTTGTCCTGACTATGAACATTTCAGTTACGTTTCATAACTAGACTAAAATATTAATAATTTTTTGTCTTCAATTTGCACATAAATGACTTCATAAATGTATTAAGTTCATCAAATACTACTTGCAATCGAGATGTGTTCTTCCTTATTATAATATCATGTAAAGAAGATGTTTATAATTTTCAAAATTAATAAACTATTAACATAAATGAAACATGAAATTTTATGATTTAAATTCTATCATAATACTTGGATTCAACTGAATACTTCTATTATTTACGAGAAAAATCATTCACAACAATACAAAAATATAACAAGGACTAGACTAATTAATGCATTCTACATTCTACTCATATTTTAGTTGAGTTTTTAACTAGTAGCAAAATTCTGTCGAAAATAAAGCTGACTATCGCAAAATTATTTGTCACTTTTAAAGAGAAAATATATGGTGCATTATTTCAAAAGCGTGATATGACATGTCTTGTTATTGTAGCTATTAGAAAACTTTGAAAAAATAAAAACTAAGACGGTAGAACCTTTCATTTTACCGAATTTTACCTTCCGCAACTATAAAATTTCCATAAAAAAAGACCACATCGATTTGCCAGCCGGATAAACACACCAAATGTCCCCTCCGTGACCTGTCCTGAACTCAGAATCGATTGTTTTCACTCATTAAAAATATTTTTACAAATACCCAGCAATATTGTGATACATGGGCCTTATTCTATACATCCTAAAGAAAGTTTTTTTGTAAGACTCGTCATCTTAAATAGTCTCAAAACAATTGTACATAAGTTACAAATGTGTCCTTAAATTATGTGAAATTTTACATCATTACAAATATAGTGCCAGTAAACGGGCTAGACAATAATTTTGACCTCTCTAACTATACGAGGGTCATCTTTCAGAACTAAGGTACTCGATTTTTGCCCGTAGAATATTCAAATCTTAGTTGCAGCTTCGCTATAACAATACTTGCACACGAAAATCGTACTAGTAAAATAAAGTGTCCCCTCCGTGATCGACGAGTTTTTGAGCTAGCACTTTTTATTTTTGAATCTGCTGGCGTAAAAACGTTCGTCTTTACAAACAATTTTTGTGCGTGATCGGAAAAAAAAATTTCAACTTTGTTGTCGTCGTGAAATTTGATGAAAGTGCGATTTGTCCCCTCCGTGAGTGTCCCCTCCGTGACAAATTTTCATGTTTGCAATAAGAAAATAAACGGATTAGATGATGGCCGGTAAAAAGTGAATATTCCATGAAAAAACAAAGAATCAAGTGTCACAAACTACGGGGGTCCGGAAAAATTAAACTCAAAATAGAAGAAAATAAGCTGTGCAAGCTCGTGTATCTGAGCGGAGAGAGAGAAAAATATTTTAATTACGACTGAAAATAACTGATACATGAGATAGCTGAATAATTAAAGGAAAAATGATGGGTGTGCACACGCAAAGAGAATATTTCAAACTAAAGGTATGCACGCGCGGCAATGGTGAAAAGTTCGGTTTTTCACCTAGGATCTCTATCCTTCGGTGTACATAATGACAGCGATTATTCGTCCCGCTCTGCTCGTGCGTTATGTGTTGACCTCGTGCATATGGATACCAATTATGTGCCACGCATCGTCGTCATCGGATTTCACCGAAAAGCTCAGACAAACTTGGTGAATTCGCTATTCGATCGATCACGACTTCTACCGCATCGCATATATTATGCGCCACGCGATCGATGAAAACAATAGAATTCTCCCGATTATAAACTCCTCTTCAAATAGATTTCGATCGAAGAAGACGACTTCTTTCGATCAAAAGCAAAAATCTCGATTATCACAATCGCGGGCGCGCCAAGGTGGATAATGACTCGACAGCTCTCGTTCCGAGCTGCGTATTCAATGGGCAGCTTTTCCTACCTGTCACAGCGCGTTGCCTCGCGTTATGATGGATTAAACGCGGCGTCTTTGCTCGCGTACACATCTCTGTATGTTTTAATTTCGCGTATGTATGAATTCGCACGCGTCGCGCTCGTGCGCATCGCACAAACAATGATTTCCCCGCGGAGCTGTGTGGCAGCGGCGGCCCAGCGGCGATCTCGTGACAGATCGTATTTTTTTGTTATCCGTTTTGTTTTTATGCTGTAGCCGTAGCCGCAGCAGCGAGACGAGATAATTTCATTACGGGATTTATCGATGCTCCCATATTGGTATATGGGCATAACTTTTTAACAGTTCCGCAGAGAGTCGAACTCGCGGTGCGCACGTATTAAGAGACACGTGTTGCGTGCGCCTTTCCTATATGGCCATATTTCCATCGCTCGTCGCGAGATTATTCATTCTTCATACTAGAACTCAACCAAAATAAAAAATAAATGGCCAAAGAAAAGCACTCAAAGGCAAAAAGTGAAAAAATAAATTCTTCACTCCCGAGATGAAAAACAAATCTTCTTTTCCAAACGAATTTTGCTTGTTTCGAAAATAAAGCCACACGCGCGCGACTATAGCGGGAGGAAAAGCCAGTGCGCGACGCGACGCGTGGGCGGGGTAGGGGCTCAAGCGATATAACAATAAAACGCACTAGCAGAGCGGATCCCTGTGTAAAGCACTCGACCTTCTCGACTCAACGGCGGGAACACGCGAGATCATCCTCGAAGCGGGGGGATAAAAATTACCCAAAACTCCGGGACTGCCGCTGCCGGTCTCGCTCGGTGATATACGCTTTATCACTCACACGTACCGCGCCTACATGCACTCTCGTGCGCGCTGTGGAACAAGCTCCGCTACGAAGGATCGTATATACTTTATATTATTATTATTGTTATTTTTTTTTTAGTTTTGATGCGAGTAAATGTGCGATAGTGTAAAGCGTTATAACATTTTTTTCAATGCCGATCTATCCGAATAATAAAAGTGTACAACAACGTGTCAAATTATATGCCAAATGTCGAAAAAACACTGGTGGCTTAAATTTCGCTCGAGTATAATACACTTGTTTTTCTTCTCACGCTCTTTGCTCAATTTTTTACTCTCTCTCTCTCTCTCTTTCGTTCTTTCTTCTTGCAAACTTCTTTGATATATAAACAAAATCCAACAGCAAACATTAAGAAGTACAGCACACACATAGTTAGCGGTCACGAATTTTCTTAAACGATAATTATCCCCTGTACGTTTGTGTATACTACTGTGCAGTTGGGCTGCCGATTTTTATCACTTATTAGTTGCGGGGATAGAGAAGTATACTTACCTCCATTTCGTTTTTTTTTTCACGATTCTCAGGAGTCCACACGGAGACGGCGGTGACATTTAAATCATAGGTGGTGTCCAAAGTATTTGATCATGACGGATCGCCGTAATAGCCGAGTTCCTGCTCGGTGTATACCAACTCAAACGCATGCATTATATTTCCGCGATATTGGAAAAAAGCTCTTTTGACTTTCTAATTTCGATGCGATTTTTGCTTCGGTTATCATTATTATTATTATTATTATTATTGTATTATTTGCATATACGTATGTGCACACGGTGTATTACGTCTAAATGTAAATCAAGCGTCGATGAGCGTGTTACACATGTTTTTGTTTGTTGAAGATATCTCTCAGTGTAATCTGGGAATATTACTATCTTTTTGAATACAGTCGATTATTATTTATTAGTTTAAAATAAAAATCAAAAAATTTATAATATTTATAATAATCCCAAATAATCCAATCATTAAGTATAGCAACGAGCTAGGAAAATGAAAAATCTTGTCTCAGGCTGCGTCGCAATCAAGTCCAAATCGATTTGTCCCCTCCTAATAATTCCGTGCGCGTACACATACGCCTCTATCTTTACAATATCATCATCGATGGCTTGAGACATAATTTCACCTATGTACGCGGTGCTATTATCATTAAGCTTTCAGCTCTCATTATAAAATGGCAATATTATGTACTGCGAATAATCGGCGCATCAATTTGCATTTAATGTTTTTTTCTCTCTGTTTCATGTGCTTCGGTGTTTCACGCTGCGTTGCTGATGCTGCTGTTGCCACACGTGTTTCGTACGTGTAATTCAACGTTGACAGTATGTAAGTATACGATAAAAAATGACTTTATAATCTTATTAATATGTGCCTTCTTCGTTTACTGTTCAAGTCGACGATCTTTGTTTATTTCTATACTTTGTCTGCCGTGGAGCGCGCGCGTTCGGCTATTATGCCGTACTGTATAACGCATATTTCCGATGGTGATCATCACCGAGTAAAAATCGAATTTATAAGCCACGAGAGGTATATAATGACTCTTAGCTCTTGGTATGAGAAATCGCGCTATACCGACCACCTTTCCGCGAATGTGTATTAAATCGAGCTGTTGCTGCTGCTGCTGCCGCCGCCGCGGCTGCAAATGAAAATTGGCGCGATTAAGTCCCGCGCGTGCCCGTATACATATAAAATCTCCTGCGCGTATGGAAGCGTGGCCGGCCAGTGTATACGTTACGCAAAATTGAACCATTTTCCCGAGAGAGTTTTTTGAGCGATCTTCAAGCTCGCGGCAGCGGCAGCTCAACCGAACCGTGCCGAAACAATGGATCTCTCAATCCAATATCTTCGATCGCTTCCACTTTTATGTGTGCGAGAGTATGAGTATTTATATCCTACATACCCAATTACGGTCATTACCGGCGATATATAATGCCTCGGGGTTAAGAGAAAAAGGATAATTGACGCTTGATCCATCACACACCAAAACCGACGGTAGTATACTATATGTATAATACAAGTATAAACTTCCGTACGTGACGCGCTCAAGAGAGAGGCCCTTTCAACTCGGCGTCGTGCCTGCCTCGTACGCGCGCGTGCGATTCTTTTAATGAACTCGTTTAATCCTCGAAAGAGGCCGCAAATGCGCTCGCGCGAAATTAGGGCTCAAATTGATTTTCTCGAAATTAATAGCCGCGCGCGATCGGAGAGATCGCAAACCGGAAACTTATTCCAACTTGGACGCTTAGCTTAGGCGTCGATTTGTTTCGTTATTATTGATTTCATTAGGACCAATTTTATCCTTCTGCACTGGTATTAAACGTAAATTGAACGCTCGCCCGGCATTGGTTCGTCTCTTTTCTCACTCTACAAATTCATGCATCTTTGTGTTATCTTTCCTCTCTTGAAAAAAGCGATGGCCTGAACGTGACATCAAAATAAACTAGCTGTGATTGATCATTGGAAGTATTGTCGTAACACCTTCTCTACATTTAGCGCGTGTTCTTCAATTCATCATAATGCGATAGCTTTCGAGTCGCACGGAGCAAACTGGTATGTAGCTTGTGCATATAAAACGCGTTGAATGGTGGCCACATTTTATGAATTCATCAGTAGTAAAATTGTTATTTTTAACTTTGAGCAAATTACCTGACGATATTTTACCTCGATGATCCGATCAAACTTTAAGGAGATATTGTTTTTATTTCATATACGTATGTTAATTTGTTACATACGTGTTCTCTGTGTAGTTCATACATAAATGACATAGTAGCGAATTTGCATTCATGAATGTATGTATCGTAAACATATCTGGGATTATAATGTCTTTTAATGTACTTTGCATCGATTTTGATCAATTGTCGTTACTTTCAGAGTTTTTATCGATAATTTTAGTTGTCCAATATTCCGCTAGTACGAGAACCAGTTGAAGAAGTCAGCGTGCGAAGTTTAGGAACGATTATTGCTTCAAGGCAAGAATTTTATATTAACATAATGATATAGGAAGTAAATACTTGGGACAAGGTTCGATTTATAATTGAAATGTTGAGAGCGATCGATGATTGAAAATAACAATTTATTAACCATAATCCAAAGAACAAATGAAAGACAAAACAGTGTCGATATTTTAGTTTGTGTACGACGACAGTCATGACAAAGTGAGTGAAATATTTTATTGTTCTTCACAAAGTTCAAGGACATTCATGTAAAAGGTTTTCCAAAATTCCGTAGCGTACTCTAGAATGTGTAGAAGTCTTCAATGGGTTCATGTGTTACAACAAATTTTACGGTCGTAGGGTTTGCTTTGAGAATGTGAATTTTCAGGTTCACTTTATAGAACTATGTATTGTCATAGTATAAGTTTTGAGTACACTTTGGTATCCAAATGATTTATGACAAATGTCACATTCGAAAGGTTTGCTTACTGTCATGTACGGTAATTATATTGAGACGATCTTGTCGAGCAAATGATTTGTGACAAATATCCCAGTGAAAGCATTCACTGCGATCATGCACTGCATTTTTTCGTCTAACTTTTCCTGTAACGCCCTAACCTCATTCACGTGATTCGACTGTAAAATAAAAATCTTATTATAGTATTTGATAGTGGAAAATTAGAACATTATTAAAATAATAAATTCACTGGTGACTTATAAAAAGAGAATGTTTCAAAGCTTTTGATTTCGCAAGAGTCCACATAATCGAAATTATAATTTTCACTTGCATCTGGCCAAGGATCATTCGGCTATTTCTTCACTCTTATAAAAATAAAGTTCTATAAAGCAATTATTTGAAACTATATCATGGCATGAACAAAAAAAGAATACCTAACTGTGTCAGCTCTATTTTCCATCACTCCCGCGATTATATGTTATAACAGTGAATTTTTATAAAATAACTCGACAAGATGTTAGAGGTTAAATTTCTCAAGCAGCCAACACGTATCCTCGATATTGCCAATTTGTAAACACTAGCTTACTGCGGGAATTTAGATTATCGCTAGCTACTGAATACACTACTCGTATATTAGCGAGGTTACCCCCTCCGATTGTGATAGCTACAGACGACGATACTTTTTCCCACTATCGTTGATTGGCCACAAGCAGTAATGTCTATGTGAGGCAGAGGCACTCGCATATCATTGAAACTACAATCATCAAGTGTACTCGTCAGTCACACAAAAGAGAAATATTTCTACATTACCACGAACACAGTACATAATGGTATGTTGTGCATCTGATATTTTAAATCAAGTTCGGTTAGTTAGACATTGGAGCTGCAGATGGTAGTAAAATAACTAAAACAGTGGCATCGACAATTGTAGAAAATACATCTCTACTTATTTTTACTTTAAAAAAATATGATGGCTTAATTGTGTCTTTGAAATAAACATGTTGTTATTATATGTTGAATTTATGTAGATAGCGTAGGTTGTGTTGAGCGCAAGTTTTTGAATTCTAGATGGTGTGATGGAGTGCGCGTTCAGTGCGCTGAACGATACGAGCATTCTTATATAATACGAGCCTCGAAATTCAAACTCGTCGTATTATCAACTAATGATGCGTGTGCGTGTGTGTCTCGCAGCGATGCATTTATAAATAATACAAATAAGCTGGAATCCGCGTAGATTTGTGCCTATACGTGCTGCACAGCCTACCGTTCTCTCTCTCTTTCTCTCTCTCTCGGCCGTCGCCGGGGAATATATCCTGGTATAAGGGGCTAATTCGCAGTGATGCACGATGCGGTCATAGTGCCAGTGGCTGACCACACGCCAGATGCTCGGACCTCCACATAGCTGTATGCGCGTGTGTGCATGTATACAGGCACGAGCAGCCCGACCAGAGCAGGTCGTCGTGAAAAATTCGCTGCCCGGTGTCGGGGGCTGCTCGTCTATATATAATACGTATATATTGTAAGCGAGCTCGGCCACAAGGCAACCGCCGCTGCGGACGGCCGCGTAAAGGTGTGTGATGCGGCTGCACACCAAGTTTTTGCGCAAAGTCTCGAGATTTATTTAAAAACGATGATCTGGCCAGGAAAATTAGGTGGAAAATTGTGTTAGGCCAAGGGGGTTTATGCGTACGGCAAGGTATACACGCGGAATATACGAGTCGAGCATTTAGCAACTCTCGAGTCTCGCTGCAGTTTCAATTTTAGCGCCTGTGGCTGGTCGCTCGCGTACACATCTGCGTTTGTGCGAGCTGCATACATGCACACGCTGGAATGACCCTATAAAAGCCGAGCCCGAGAGTGAGAGGGAGAGAGAGAGAGGAACTCCACGCGAGCATAGATATATGCAACAAAACACGAATTGTCTTTTTCTCCGTATCTGCGAGTGTGTATGCATTTGTGCACAACGGCATGCAGTAACAACAACAACGGCAGCAGCAGCAAAGTGCACATGCGCGATGACTTTATTACCACGAGCCCGAAATCGTTATGGCCCTTTATATGGCACGCTGTAAAGAGCTCTCATTCTCTCTCTGTTTCTCTGTACATTGCATCGAAGTTTTTTCCTCCTTTTTTCCGTTCTACGATTTTATGCGCTTCGCTCGCTCGCTTGTGCTGCAAAGAGCTCGATCGTTGATTAGTTCGGGAGGCGCCTCGTGATTGCCCCGAAAATTCGTGTACTACAACGATTCATATAATATCGCGAGTGCGGGGCTTTTGAACCCAAAAAATCCAAATTAACGAGCGGATTTGAAAAATTCATTACTCGACCTCTCGTTCTCTCGTACGCGTGTTGGCGTGGCCGCATCGATTTATTCTTTTCGGCGTCTTATTTCGAATACTGTATGTACGTGTATGACACGCGTATATGAATACTCACGAGTGAATCTCAATGATCCCCCATGCCATAAATACCGAAAATATGTGTATATACGAAGCTGTGTACAACCGAAAATATATATAAATACAAGATTGTACATTGTAAAGTAAAAAAAAATGAAACGAAAGAAGGATATCTCGAGTTTGTAAGCAACGCGTAAAATAAGCGCATACAAACGCACGCGGCTCGTTCGTTCGACCTCGCGAGATATCGCGCGAGACTCGTGTGTGTATGTGTGTGTATGTGTGTGTGTGTAGAGAGAGAGAAAGAGAGAGAGACCTCTTTTATCGATACCGCGCGATCGGCATTCAAAAAATACATATTATACGTATCGTACCTTCGGAAATCAACGGAAGTAATTAATATTCGTCCGGAACGAATCTTGCGCGCATAAACACGAATGTGCGAGTGAACGCCGAGCGAAAGGAGAAAAAGGTATACAAAAAAAAAAGGAGCAACGATTCCTCGGCTACTCTCTCTCGCTCTCCGCAGGAAGAAATTTCGATCCTCGTACGAGCTTGTGCCGTACGTGTGCGTGTGTATTGGTTTACAAGCGCGATTCTGCGAGAAATAACGTATTACTGTCGAAGCCGATAAATTCGATATTAATATCGGCTATTTATTTCGAAGGAGCGAGAGAGAAAGAGCCCCTCCGCCCGCTATATGAACGCCGAGTGCAATAAAGTGTCCCTCGTCGTCGAGAACAGAGAAAGAGAAAAACTTACTCTTTTCATAAAACAAATCTTTTTCGAGTATAAAGAGACTATCATATCGACCGGTAAAAAGAAAGAGAGAAAGAGGAGGAGCTGGACGGTTTGTTCGCGCATAAATACTTGGGCAAAAGTTGAAATACAAACAAAAAGGTTTCTCTCTCTCTCTCAGCCATAAGAGAGCCGGTGCAGCAGTCCTCGAAGCTCACGACGACGACGACGACGATACGATCTCACGAGCAGCAGCGGCAGTGGCGCGGCTCGTCTGTGACCAAGGAAATATTTATGCAGAGTTTGGACAGTACACACACTGCACAGTGCAGATATACATATGAGATCCTACGAAGCAATGATTATCTCATTTTTTGGAGGGGAAGAAGCTCAGAAAATTTTTCAGATTATCCGACGATAAACTTTGACCTGGCGCGACGATTTATCTGACGTTGTCGATGGGTATCCCCTATATACCCAAAATTCAATTGCTCTCTGAGTTACGTATATGCTGCCTCGTGCGCGCATGGCAGTTATCTATGCGAACGCATACACGGTAATTCCTTGGGAGCTTGGAACCGAGAAATCGACTCGATACGACGTTGTAAACCGGAGAATCTTCATTTGGCATGTATATGCGACAAGAGAGAGAGAGAGAGATGGCAGGGGGAAAGACACAGACACAGTTTCAATTTCGTAACGCCAATCCAATCATGTAAATCAGGGAGGACTGAGGCATTATCGGCATGGTATACGAGTTTCCCCTGATCGACCCCAGCTCTCCACCTATCTCCAATTCTCGGACAGTTGAGCAGCAGCAGCAGTCCGGCAAGTTTATCAACGAGAAAAATTGATTTTTCGATTGATCATTATTATTATCGCGATTTATATTTGCTCTCTTACGTCAGAGCTGCAGCGCGGCCGGAGGATTTCTCAAAGGGGCATATCTATCGGCGATTCCGTATGCGTAATATTAAACACGATTCGAACGAACAATCTGCTTGCGAAATATAACAGCGTGTTCCTATATGCTCCTTCGATACGAATCATTTAAAATCTCGTAAATCATACGTACGTATACACATAACGTATCGCGGCATGTGTAGCCGAACGAGCGCCGGAGCTGCTTTACACGCGCTTCTGATTATTATCGTATAATTTACGTTTCGCGCAATACTCGGAGAAATATCGCGTGGATCCGTAGCGGAGGAGTTTTTCACTTTCGTGCGCACTCGCAATATTACGTGTTTATATCATCGTCGAAACTCTCGTGGCGAAAATCACATGCGAGAGAGGAGCCAATATCGGCGATCAATCGTTGGCCAGAAGAACAAGCTGCTGCTGCTGCTGCTCTATGCTCCGACCAAGTGCACACAAAGCCCAAAAAGGGAGCTCTGGTCAGGTCCGACGAAGCGAGTAGAATCGAGGAAAGGGATGAGTATATGCTCCTATGTAGACGTATCGGCGCGCGCTACCAACTAATCCAAGCATTGGCTAATCGCCTGCACTCTGGCCTCTCTTGCACTGCAGGCGAAGGGAGAGACGCAATTCCTGGCGCAGCAGCTGCAGCAACCTCTCTATGCGTGTAGTCAGATTCCACTGCAATAAAACGTAAATTATGTCGACGTATATTTTGAGGGTAATTTAATCAACTTTTTAAGTATTTTCATCTTACAAGATTTAATTGACTTTATACAATGTTTGAAAAATATCAGAAAAATGAAAATTTAATAAATTTTTAGATGACTAGACGATCACTGAGGACCATAAATGGTTTAATAGAATATTAAGAAAAATCATCATGACAAAAGCTTTAACACCGACATACTTGGAAAACACTTGATCAATTTTAGACACTTAGTTTACCCCTGAAAAAGAATTATATCGCCAGACTCTTTGGCCAAAGTTGTCGAAAGATTGATACGAATAAAAAAACGCCAAACTTAAGATGATATCGGGTTGAAATTTGAAATTCCGAAATATCTTGATCGTTTTCGTTGGAATTCGAATTGTCAAACAAAAAAGACTCATTTTATATATAAACGGCATCACTACAGTAATTGGACCGATCATCGCAGTTACATGCTGTATTGGCTACTGTAATGCTATTTTTACGAAAATTGTCACAATAAAAATAGAAGAAGATTATCGTCGGGGAAGTAAATAGTTGCGTGCCCGTGTCAGTCGTATCATAATTGCGGCGATCGAGACGTAAGCTAAATATAAATAAGTAAACCTAAAAAATTCTCGATGAGATTAATACAGTTCAAAATTTGATTTAATTTGATTTGATCGTCAAGAAGCTCAAAGATGTGTCAACATTTTATAAAACTTCCATCACCGCTATTTCGAATGATTGAATTATGACTGCCGACTTGAATGAATCTGGCTATTTATAAATTAAGAATCTGTCAAGAAAGCAGCAAAATATTGCTAGTTTCTAATTGAATGTTGCATAAACTACTGGCAGCAATGAGAGAAATTGCCAATTGACTTGGGATATCGCTGCAGACGGCGGCTTATTTCATTGCATCTACGTAACGATCCATCAGCCCTTTTACATGCGCATACGTATAAGTTCTGCCATTTGAGCAATATAACAAGCTCCGATCGAAGTCGTGTTACAACGATCTGTAAGTTCGATTTTTTTGACGCCGTTACTCATTCGTACCTCGAGCCGGTACATCTTTTGCCAGCACGGTAAATATTCGAGTAGTATAAAGGAAAAAAAGTACTCATAGGTGTGCTCGGTATAAGGAATGTAAAAACGTATCCAAGCGTAGATCCGAGTTCACGCGAGGATCGTATACATATAAGGCGCAGAGCTATTCCGCTTTATGTATAGGCAAAGTGTCAAATAATAAAAACATCCGTTATTACCTCGCAACGTTAGGAAACGAGCTATACACATTGTACATGTATCAAAAGCTGCGTTATATATACCGCGTCGTCGCATAAAGTTCAAGGCGGGGATGATGCGTTTCACGCTTTCTCTCTCTCTCTCTCTCTCTCTCTCGCTCACTCTCACCGAATGCGAATATAGGCGTACACGTGCAATGGTGACGAGAGCTAATGGACGAGCCTGATGGCAATGTCTTGTATCGCTCGTCGCGGCAGTGCACTTGATTTACATTCGAATATCTGCGGAAAGTCGCCTAATTGCAAGCGTCGCTGCTGCCGCTGCTACGTATAGTGCAGGGCCGCAACTCGACGATATGCGCCGGATGTCACTTACGCGTGTGTGTGCACGCGTCCCATCCGTGAATGCGTATTCGTCTCCACGTGCACTTTGCCTTACGTGTATACATACGTCGTATATACCGAAAATCTCAGAAGGTAAAATTTACTACTACTCGAGAGCGGCTGAAGAAGCCGCAACCTCGTTGCATACGTAAATACGTCCGATCGCAATTGAATTAATCGCGGCGGAAACACGTCGGGGTGAAGTAGGTATATACCGGAGTGCAGCGTGTCAATTCCTCAAGCTGCTGCTGCTGCCGGCGGCGGTGGCGTCGGCGCGCAGCAGTCACAGCTCGTTTGCCGCACAACTGCACTCGGGGCGCGGATCGCAAAGTGCAGCGAAAGCACCAACGATGTATAATACGCTGCCGGCGCTGCGCTGCTGCTTTTTTCCGCAAAACGAGGAAGCGGCGGCCCGTACTTGAGTATTTCAATTTGCCATAACACAAAAGATGCCAAGACGCTGATAACATTGTTGGATTAATACGTGATGTATACATACGCAGAGCTATATTACACGATGTATACTATGTATAATATAAAAAGATCGGCGCGCGCCAAGAGCTGAAAGAGAGAGAGAGAGACGAAAGAGCGAGTGGGCGTGGACTACGATATTACAGGCAACAATTGAATGTAAAACGATGTTTTCGGATATGCTGCTGCTGCTGATGCTATAGTAAGCCGCGAGCGAGCAAAAGAGGAGGCGCGCCAGCGATTTTCAAGATGCGGCCATTGGTCGAGCGCGAGGCTTTCGCGTTATACGCGCGCGCGCGCCTGCTCTTTCTCTCTCTCTCTCTCTCTCTCGCTCGTGCCACAGCTCGCTCTTTAATCGACGGGAAAACGCGCAGACTGCAGCGGCGGCAGCTGAAAATTCCCCAACGTTGACGTACAAGTGTCTATATAGATGCAAGTCTTGTTAACGAATAATATATTATGCTTTTTTTTCTCTCTCTCTCTCTCTCTCTCTCTCTGTCGATTAAATAATGCAACGCGCCGGGCGCCGTGTAGCATCATTTCTTTTTAATTGGAACACGTGTTATGCGCGTACCAAAGTACACAGATTCAATAATAGAAAGCTGCATCGTTGCGTATGCATGTACACACACAAAAAAATTAACACAAGAAGTAAAACAATATTGTTACGGGCGAATAGATAAGAATTTAAAACAATTCAATTCTATATACACGAGGTGGAGTCGCGTCGGCGAGTACACACACATACGCAGTACGCTCCAACGTGTATGTCTTAATTTTCATTGTTATTGCGTAGTATACGTATTAGCTTATTTCTCTCTCGTTCTCTAGCTGCAACTCCGAGTTAAAGTTCGCGTACTAATTAGAAGCTACAACAGCGGCAGCAGCAGCAGCGGAGGCACACACACGCTCTCTTTGCTAGTCTCGTTGTATTATATGTTTATAAATTGTATATATGTGTTACGAGCTCGCTACACCAACGCTCGTATCGCGAGCAAAAAAAAGAATAAAAAAAAAACACTGAAAAATATATATAAGCTTCGCTATCCGCAGCAGCTCGTCGAAAAAAGAATCGCGCGCGCGTATCATACACGCGTCCGAGGAGCTTTTTTTACTTCCTCTTCTTCGCGCGCCGAGAGTATGTGTTTTGGAGCTTTACGCAACGCATACAATAATAAAATACGCGCGAGAAGGAAAATTTCGCCCGCATACGGAAAAAGAGCAACGAAGAAGCTGCAGCGAAGCTACGAGTTGAAGCAGCAGCAGCGGCAACAGCGTCTCGACAGAAACACAGAATGTGTCATTAGCATATACTACAACTACTGCTACTGCTACGTACATTGGCCAGGCCAGACTTGCGCCCGCGTCGGTCTGCTTTATGATTTATCCATATTATAAAACGTACACGTACACCCTGACCACTGCTTGGCTTCTCTCTTTCTCTCTCTCCCTAACGTAGCCAACGCAATGGCATGTTGTATCGTACGTGGTATAACCCCTTACCAGGAATGACATTTTCTCGCGTGTTTACCGGGCATCGCGTACTTTTTCTCTTTCTAATTTTTTGTTTCCTTGTAGCCCGCTCGGACCCGAGCTTTTATTTAGTGGAGGGATTTCTTTCCAGCTCTTCTTGTTTTGTTACGTACCGTATACGCAGACGTATACGCGCTTTCTTTTTACCAAGTCGCGGTGCTACGGGTCATCTTCTTTATGCTCTTTCGCTTAATACACAGGCACACGCACGCATTGTGTTCGTTGTTCTCGCGCAAGAGGTAATGATGTTTAATGGTTATTGCAGGCGTTGCGAGCACCACACGCGTGTGCGTATACCACACCAACCGTATAAACGCGCACTCGTATATAAACACAGATGAGGAAAACGAAGAATTGTGACTTTTATGAATTAATTACGGGCTTTGTAAAAAGGATTGTGTATGCGTGCGATCCTCGTGTACCCGCGCAAGTCCATACGAAGAAGTTTTAGCTCGTAATCAATTTGTGCCGTACGTATAAAGCATTGAGGGAGAAGAACGCGTGCTACCTATATTGACAAGATTACGCTTGCGTAAACAATCCCTGTTGTTGCGATATGACTTTGCATTGATTTTAGAGGCACTGCCAATAAATACAGTCGACGGCAGTGATGTTGATTTCCGTGATTACGTATCAAGTGTGCTTGAAATTGATACTGACTTTTACTTACTGTTTTTTTTACTTTTCAGACGGCTCTACACTGGGGTGCCAAGCACGGCGATGAAAACATCATCAAGCTTATAGCGGGAACCTATCGGGATTACATCAAAAGCGTCAACGAGACTTCGGTGAGTCCTATTTATCCAATCGTTGCTCATGACATCTTTTTCATTAAATTCCCTCTTCTTTTTTGTTTCATTTTGGTTACATTGAATCTTCATCTCGACTAAACTAGAACGGGGTAAGTTCAAGTTCTTTATTTGAAAACTTTTTTATCAATTGTAGAAATCCTTTATATAATGATATATTTTACAATCGGCAATCAGCCGCTCGTGACACTCAATAAGCGCACAGTATTAAATTAATTAGAAGGAGCTTCGATGCGCCAATCAGTATGGAAAATCGATACAAGTACGCACATAGTCTCGGTTGCATACATATATATATATACACATATATATATGAAAACACGCGTACACAGAAACAGCCACAGCAGTAACCGAAGCTGTGATTTTCTACGATCTTGAGAGCCACTTTATTTCTTAAAATTGTCTTCTTGGCTAAAATTTGGTGATTTAAATTGTCATTTCTTAAAGAGCTTTTTGGATTGACGATTGATGCTTTTAAATTGTTGGTATTTAAGAAAATCAGTGTTGAAGGTCAGGATGCAAAGTTTAGGCATGCATCTAGATTCGAAAACCCTGTTTCAAGAATTTTCAATCGTTTTAAAGATTAAAAGTACTTGGGAAAATATAAACGTCAAACTTAATGATATTTAGAATAACTTTATTGTTTTTTAAATTAAAGCATATTTAAGATAAAAGTTTATGAATAACGACACAAATACAAATTACTTATGACAGATCTCACACTCTCAGGATTTCATCAGATTATGTACTGCATTCATGTGTTTTTTAAGAGTATATTTTGATTTGAATGATTTATGACAAATACCACAGTCAAAGGATTCACTGTGAGCATGAACTCCATTTATGTGTTGAGTCAGGTTATGTTTAAATCCAAAAGATTTTCGACAAATTTCACATTTATAGGGCCTGCTTCGATCATGTACAGCACTAAAATGCCTTTTAAGTTTATTCTGAAATTCAAATGATTTGTGACAAATTTTACATTCAAAGGGTTTGATACCATTATGTATTACATTTATATGAGTTTTGAGGTCACCCTTGTATCCAAATGATTTGTGACAAATATCACATTCGAAGGGTTTTCTATGATCATGTACTGTCATTATGTGCAATTTGAGGGTATCCTTACGTCCATAGGACTTGTGACAAATTTCACATTCGAAGGGTTTACTACGATTATGCACTGTATTAACGTGAGCGTCGAGAGTAGATTTTTGTCCAAATGATTTATGACAAACGTCACATTCAAAAGGTTTTCTACAATCATGTACTGTCATTATGTGCAATTTGAGGGTATCCTTACGTACATATGACTTTTGGCAAATACTACAGTCGAAAAGCTTCCTCCGATCATGTACTTTTGTGTGAGTTTTGAGGTTTTTTTCGTTTTTAAATGATTTGTGACAAATGTCACACTCGAAGGATTTTGAACTAATATGTACTACTTTATCAGTATGGAGACTACACTTTTGTTCGGACGATTTTGACTTATACAATTCTTTTCCATTATATTTTTCAACCTTTTTCGTTTCCTTAAATTCACCAGCTTTGTGGTGGGAATTTAACGTTATTTGACAATTATCTTCATAATTGAATCCTTTTTTTATCAAAATGATAAGACTTTTTTCACGCTTGTTGTTGATTTGATTTTCATTTTCTTTTTTCTTAATAGAATAAAAATTGAGGCATTCAGATTTGCAGATGGTTGCAGATAAAGAATTCAGATCAGGTTTAACATCTTTACACTCAAAATCGATGAATATTTTATCTTCTAAGTTTTCCTGTATTGCTACAGCCTCATTTTTGGGTTTTGTCTAAAAATCAAAATTGCGTTAGAGTTTTCGGTAGAGGATCAATATAATTACAGTCATTAAACTCACCGATAATTCATAAAATGGCAATGTTTCAACTTTTTCGGTTTTGATAAATTCTACAGAATTTAAAACATAATCGTCACCTGCGTTCGACCCAGTAGTGTCATTTGGCTCTTTCTTTACCCTGAATAATTTAATCGAACTTATTGAAATGATAATACGAAAAAATATCACGTCTATTGGGAAATATGTGATAGAAATTTTTATGTAAAGATTGCGGAAAGAGATTGGGCATTAACGCAGGTTCTTATGGGAACCGAGTAATAAATGTTTAAAAATCAATGAGAATTTTTTTCATGTATCTGATGTTGTCAAGATCATCTTTATTTTAAGGGTAAGACTATTCATACGACAGATCTAGTAATCTAGAGTTTTTTTAACCTCACTTCCCTATAGCCTTGTGCATGCGACCGCTATGTTGGTAAATATATAATATTATAAATAAAGTTATTATTTGTTGGGCCAAAATGCACAATTTGTTGCCAACGAGCGGCGTATGCCGCTGAAGGCGGCGGAGCCGGCGCTGGTTTGTTGATATCCTCGAGTAATACTTATTTAAAGACTCAAAAAGGGTTTAAGGACGTTGCCTCAAAAAAATGACTATCGATAAAGGGCCTTGAAATTTTAACAACATATTATTGACAATACTTTTCATAAGTGTGAGAAATTTCAGGAACTTTAACCAAACCATTTCCGAAATATAATTAATCAAAGTTCGGTACTTTAACATGGTATTCCTATGTTAGCGTGTCGAAAAGACGCTATTTTGTGTGATTATAAAAAAATGCATCGATATAGTAATTTTCGATACAAGTGCCATAAGTAACACTTTTTGGCACGGCGTAGTTTAGGGCCCGAGCGCAGCGAGGGTCCTAATAGCTGGGCCGAAAAGTGTCCCCTATGGCCCGAGTATCGAACAAAATTTTATAGTACTGTGCAAAGTTCACATTTATGCCCCCTTTTCCGAGCCATGAGTCGCACTTTCTGGTAGCGCGAAGTGAGGTTAGCGCACGAGCGTATGCGAGTGTGATGCGAACGCAGCGGTGCCAGAATGTGCGACTTATGCCACCGAAAAGCGTGCCATAGATGTGAACTTATGCCACGCAGTGCTATAAAAATCTTTTCAAAAACTAGGAAATAATTTTTCAGTATGTACTAAAACATCTCAAAAACTGGAAACACTTGACCAAACAGTTTTTGAGAAAAGTTAATGTAAAAACATTGCAAAAATAAAAATTCAAACTTTTTGACCTGAAACCCATTTCGTAAGGTTTTTAGGGTCATTTTAAACAAAAAAGTGCTCTTGCAAATTTTCTCTAAAATCTATCGTTCACAAGCTATAAACAATTCAAATTTAAACAATTTCAAGCAAAGAAACTTTGCGATTTTTTATCTCAATAAGTATGAACTCTACGAAAAATTGTAAAAGAACAAAAAAGTCTTAGAATTTGTTAAGGAAAGCGTATGAATTTTTTCAGATTTTTTCTAGACATATGCCCAAATTTGTCGGTCAGGTCTGAGGGAACTACCTTAAATTGATTAATTTCAATTGTTGAAAGAGTAGGCTGTATAGTTACAAATAATTATTTTTTGAAAAGCAGACAAATAGTCTCTTTAAAAAACCATTTAAAAAGGTTTGTTGCTAGAACGCACAATTTGTTTTTGGTAGTCGGTCAAAAATGCTTTGTCAAAAATGCTTTTTTCACTTTCACAGACTACTTTTTCAAAAATGGAAATTAAATGACATTTTTAAGTTCTTAATCAATAAAGTATGGAACTAGAGTTAGTGTATCGATATGTATTATAATTCTAGATGAAATATACGCGACTCACGTTTATGATTTGACAGCACTTAAGGATGTTCCCTCAGACCTAACTGACAAATTTGGGCATATTTCTAAAAAAAATCTGAAAAAATTCATACGCTTTCCTTGACAAATTTCAAGACTTTTTTGTTCTTTTACAATTTTTCGTAGAGTTCATACTTATTGAGATAAAAAATCGCAAAGATTCTTTGCTTGAAATTGTTTAAATTTGAATCGTTTATAGCTCGTTAACAATTGATTTTAGAGAAAATTTGCAAGAGCACTTTTTTGTTTAAAATGACCCTAAAAACCTTTAAAAGTGGGTTTCAGGTAAAAAAGTTTAAATTTTTATTTTTGCAATGTTTTTACATTAACTTTTCTCAAAAACTATTTGGTCAAGTTTTTCCAGGTTTTGAGCCATGTTTTAGTACATACTGAACAATCATCTCCTAGTTTTTGAAAAGATTTTATCGATGCGTTTTTTTATAATCACGCAAAATAGCGTCTTTTCGACACGCTAGCATAGGGATCCCACGTTAAAGTACCGAACTTTGATTAATAATATTTCGGAAATGGTTTGGTTAAAGTTCCTGAAATTTCTCACACATATGAAAAGTATTGTCAATAATATGTGGTTAAAATTTCAAGACCCTTTATCGATAGTCATTTTTTTGAGGGGTCATGTCTGCCTAAACACGACTATAAGTGAACTTTTATTTAATAGATCATATTCAAATTGTTTTAATATGACCGAAAATAGTTTTTTCTATGTAATCATCCTCCGTGGATTGTACCTGTTCAATTAGATTTTTTTTCGTGTCTGAACGACTTCATACAATTGATTTCAAAAGTCACTAGATCTGTCGTGCGATTAGATATAGCCTTAAGGGTCCTCTATACACGATGTGAAATGCTCAATCGGTAACACCAGCTACCTAGTTACATTTATGTTCAGTCTGAAAAATTGGAAATGTTATTCGCAAATAATCGAGTTGACGCACATTTCTAATACACTCATTAACATTGTGGTCGAGTTTTATCCAATTCCATGCATTATTCAAGGACAAAAACGAAAACTACGAATAATCATGATCAATGTTATTTAATAGCTATGGTCATGAAATTTTTTGGGAGTGATCACGAAACTAATACAAATTTGCCTATGAAGCTATTTTTTCAGATAATTGAAAAAAAATTTTTTACAATGTTTATATGAAAAAATAGCTTCATAGGCACATTTGTATTAGTTTCGTGATCACTCCCAAAAAATTTCAAGACCATAGGTTGTATACTAAATGAAAAAAATGGGTACAAAATACGCGAATATAGTTACCGACCGAGTAGTGTATAGAGAACCCTTAAAAGTACTTGTAATTAGTTTATAATAAAGTTAAAAAAATAAACAAAAAATAT